TTGGGGGGGTGTTCCTATGGGGGGGTGTCCCTATAGAGGTGTCCCTATGGGGGTGTCCCTATAGGGGAGTCCCTATAGAGGTGTCCCTATAGTGGTGTCCCTATGAGGGAATCCCTGTGGGGGGGCGTGTCCCTATAGGGGTGTCCCTATGGGGGGGTGTCCCTATGGGGGGGTGTCCCTATAGAGGTGTTCCTATAGGGGTGTCCTTATGGGGGGTGTCCCTATAGAGGTGTCCCTATGGGGGGGTGTCCCTATAGAGGTGTCCCTATAGGGGTGTCCCTATTAGGGGGGGTGTCCCTATGGGGTGGGTCCCTATAGAGGTGTCCCTATAGAGGTGGGTCCCTATAGGGATGTCCCTATGGGGGGGGTGTCCCTATAGACGTGTCCCTATAGGGATGTCCCTATAGAGGTGTCCCTATAGGGGTGTCTGTATTGGGGGGGGTGTCCCTATGGGGGGGTGTCCCTATGCGGTGGGTCCCTATAGAGGTGTCCCTATGGGGGGAGTGTCCCTATGAGGGGGTGTCCCTATAGGGGTGTCTGAATTGGGGGGGGTGTCCATATGGGGGGGTCTCCCTAAGCGGTGGGTCCCTATAGAGGTGTCCCTATGGGGGGGTGTCCCTATAGAGGTGTCCCTATAGGGGTGTCTGTATTGGGGGGGGGGTCCCTATGCGGTGGGTCCCTATAGAGGTGTCCCTATGGGGGGGTGTCCCTATAGAGGTGTCCCTATAGGGGTGTCTGTATTGGGGGGGGTGTCCCTATGGGGGGGTGTCCCTATGCGGTGGGTCCCTATAGAGGTGTCCCTATAGAGGTGTCCCTATGGGGGGGGTGTCCCTATGGGGTGGGTCCCTATAGACGTGTCCCTATAGAGGTTCCCGTCCCCCCGGCGGGCGGTCAGGGTGCGCTGTGTGCGAGTGCGGGCTGCGCTGCCCCCCCGCAGGTGAAGGAGGCTCACTTCAAGGCGCACCCCGACTGGAAGTGGTGCAACAAGGACCGCAAGAAGTCGAGCTCCGAGGGGGGGGCGCGGGGGGCCCCCAAAGAGCCCCGCGAACGCAGCGCCTCCGAGAGCGGCCCCGCAGCGCCCCCGACAGGTCAGGGACCGCTGCTCACACACGGGGGGAGCGTGGGGAACCAGAGATGCCAGAGGGACCCATTGATAGCCATAGGGACCCATTGATAACCATAGGGAGCCATTGATACCATAGGGACCCATTGATAACCATAGGGAGCCATTGGGACCCATTGATAGCCTATAGGGACCCATAGATGCCATAGGGAGCCATTGATAACCATAGGGACCCATTGATACCATAGGGAGCCATTCGCACCCATTGATATCCTGTAGGGACCCATAGATGCCATAGGGACCCATTGATATCCTATAGGGACCCATTGATACCATGGGGACCCATAGATGCCATAAGGACCCATTGATATCCTATAGGGACCCATTGGGACCCATTGATATCCTATAGGGACCCATTGGGATCCATTGATATCCTATAGGGACCCATTATAGGGACCCATTGATACCATAGGGACCCATACGGACCCATAGATATCCCATAGGAACCCATAGGGACCCATTGGGACCCATTGATATCCTATAGGGACCTATTGATACCATAGGGAGCCATAGATACCATAGGGATCCATTGGGACCCATTGATATCCTATAGGGACCCATTCATACCATAGGGACCCATTGATACCATAGGGACCCATTGGGACCCATTGATATCCTATAGGGACCCATTGATACCATAGGGAGCCATAGATACCGTAGGGACCCATTGGTACCATGGGGACCCATTGATACCATAGGGACCCATTGATATCCTTATCCTGTAGGGACCCATTGATAACCATAGGGAGCCATAGGCACCCATTGGGACCCATTGATATCCTATAGGGACCCATTGATACCATAGGGAGCCATAGATACCATAGGGACCCATTGATATGCTATAGGGACCCATTGATACCATAGGGACCCATAGATACCATAGGGACCCATTGGGACCCATTGATATCCTATAGGGACCCATTGATACCATAGGGAGCCATAGATACCGTAGGGACTCATTGGTACCATGGGGACCCATTGATATCCTTATCCTGTAGGGACCCATTGATAACCATAGGGAGCCATAGGCACCCATTGGGACCCATTGATATCCTATAGGGACCCATTGGGATCCATTGATATCCTATAGGGACCCATAGATGCCATAGGGACCCATTGATATCCTATAGGGACCCATTGATACCATAGGGACCCATTGGGACCCATTGATATCCTAAAGGGACCCATTGATAACCGTAGGGAGCCATTGGTACCATAGGGAGCCATAGGGACCCATTGGGACCCATTGATATCCTATAGGGACCCATAGGGACCCATAGATATCCTATAGGGACCCATTGGGATCCATTGATATCCTATAGGGACCCATAGATACCATAGGGACCCATTGGGATCCATAGATACCATAGGGACCCATTGATACCATAGGGACCCATTGGGACCCATTGATATCCTATAGGGACCCATTGATAATCATAGGGAGCCATTGGTACCATTAGGACTCATTGATATCCTATAGGGACCCACTGATACCATGGGGACCCATTGATACCATAGAGACCCATAAGGACCCATTGATATCCTATAGGGACCCATTGATACCATAGGGAGCCATAGATACCATAGGGACCCATTGGGACCCATTGATATCCTATAGGGACCCATTGATACCATAGGGACCCATTGGTACCATAGGGACCCATTGGGACCCATTGATGTCCTATAGGGACCCATTCATACCATAGGGAGCCATAGGCATTGGGACCATAGATACCCATAGGGACCCATTGATATCCTATAGGGACCCATAGGGACCCATTGATATCCTATAGGGACCCATTGACCATAGATATCCCATAGGAACCCATAGGGACCCATTGGGACCCATAGATCCCATAGGGACCCATTGGTACCATAGGGAGCCATTGGTAACCCATAGGGACCCATTGATACCCCATAGGGAGCCATTGGTACTGTAGGGACCCATTGATAACCCACAGGGACCCATTGATACCCCATGGGGACCCATTGATACCCCATAGGGACCTATTGGTAACCCATAGGGACCCACTGATAGCTATTGATAACCCATAAGGACCCATTGGTAACCCATAGGGACCCATTGATAACCATCGATAACCCATAGGGACGCTATAGAGACAGCGTAAGGACCCACTGATAACCCATAGAGACCCACTGATAACTATTGATAACCCATAGAGACCCATTGATAACCCATAGAGACCCATAGATAACTATTGATAACCCATAGAGACCCACTGATAACTATTGATAACCCATAGAGACCCATAGATAACTATTGATAACCCATAGAGACCCACTGATAACTATTGATAACCCATAGAGACCCATAGATAACTATTGATAACCCATAGAGACCCATTGATAACCCATAGAGAACCTACAGAGACACCATAGAGACAGCATAGGGACCGACTGATACCCCATAGGGACCCATTGATAGCCATTGGTAACCCATAGGGACCCATTGATAACCATCGATAACCCCTAGGGACGCTATAGAGACAGCATAGGGACCCATTGATAACCCATAGAGACCCACTGATAACTATTGATAACCCATAGAGACCCATTGATAACTATTGATAACCCATAGAGACCCACTGATAACTATTGATAACCCATAGAGACCCATAGATAACTATTGATTATCTATGTTAGAGACCCATAGATAACTATTGATAACCCTTAGAGACCCATTGTTAACTACTGATAACCCATAGAGACCCATTGATAACACATAGAGAACCTATAGGGACACCATAGAGACAACATAGGGACCCACTGATACCCCATAGGGACCCATTGATAGCCATTGGTAACCCATAGGGACCCATTGATAACCATCAATAACCCATAGGGACGCTATAGAGACAGCATAGGGACCCACTGATAACCCATAGAGACCCACTGATAACTATTGATAACCCATAGAGACCCATTGATAACTATTGATAACCCATAGAGACCCACTGATAACTATTGATAATCCATAGAGACCCATAGATAACCCATAGAGAACCTATAGAGACACCATAGAGACAGCATAGGTACCCACTGATAAGCCATGGAGACCCATTGATAACTATTAATAATCCATAGAGACCCATAGATAACCCATAGAGAACCTATAGAGACACCATAGAGACAGCATAGGGACCCATCGATAACCCATACAGACCTATTGATAAGTATTGATAACCCTTAGAGACCCATTGATAACTATTGATAGCCCTTAGAGACCCATTGATAACCCATAGAGACCTATAGAGAGACATGGAGACCCCCAGAGACCCCATAGAGACAGTTACGTCCCCCCCCATTTCCATCCCAAATATCCCATGGACCCCCCCCAAGTCCTCCCCCCCACCCTCCGTTTGGACCCCCATTTGCCCCCATAGCCCCCCTCTTTAACCCCATGACCCCTCATTGACCCCTATTGCCCCCATAGCCCCCCTTTAACCCCATGACCCCTCATTGACCCCTATTCCCCCATAGCCCCCCCTTTAACCCCATTCCCCCCATTGACTCCAATAGCCCCCCCTTTAACCCCATGACCGCTCATTGACCCCTGTTCCCCCCATAGCCCCCCTTTAACCCCATGACGCCTCATTGACCCCTATTCCCCCATAGCCCCCCCTTTAACCCCATGACCGCTCATTGACCCCTGTTCCCCCCATAGCCCACCCTTTAACCCCATTGACCCCCATAGCCCCTCCTTTAACCCCATGACCCCTCATTGACCCCTATTGCCCCCATAGCCCCCCCTTTAACCCCATTCCCCCTCATTGACTCCAATAGCCCCCCCTTTAACCCCATGACCGCTCATTGACCCCTGTTCCCCCCATAGCGCCCCCTTTAACCCCATGACCCTTCATTGAACCCCATTCCCCCCATAGCCCCCCTTTAACCCCATGACCCCTCATTGACCCCTATTCCCCCATAGCCCCCCCTTTAACCCCGTGACCCCTCATTGACCCCCATAGCCCCCCTTTAACCCCATGACCGCTCATTGACCCCTGTTCCCCCCATAGTGCCCCCTTTAACCCCATGACCCCTCATTGACCCCTATTCCCCCATAGCGCCCCCTTTAACCCCATTCCCCCCATTGACTCCAGTAGCCCCCCCTTTAACCCCATTCCCCCATTGACCCCATAGCCCCCCTTTAACCCCATGACCCCTCATTGCCCCCATAGCCCCCCTTTAACCCTATGACCCCTCATTGACCCCTATTGCCCCCATAGCCCCCCCTTTAACCCCATGACCCCCCCTTCACCTCTCCCCTCCCCCACAGGCTCCTCGGACCCCCCCGAGGCCGCGGCGGGGGCGGGGCCGGCGCCGGGTGGGGGAGGGGCGCAGCGGCCTCGCGCCTTCTCGCACAGCGGAGTCCAGGGGCTGGGGGGGGCCGAGCCCCACGGGCGCCCCCTGCGGGAGCTGGGGCAGGTACGGGGGGAGGGGGGGATGTGGGGCAGGGGGGATGTGTGGGGCAGGGGAGGGGTTGTGTGGGGTATGGGGATGTGTGGGGCAGGGGGGATGTGTGGGGCTGAGGGGGGTTGTGTGGGGTATGGGGATGTGTGGGGCAGGGGGATGTGTGGGGCGGGGGGGGGTTGTGTGGGGTATGGGGATGTGTGGGGCAGGGGGATGTGTGGGGCGGGGGAGGGGTTGTGTGGGGTATGGGGATGTGTGGGGCGGGGGGATGTGTGGGGCGGGGGGGGGGTTATGTGGGGCAGAGGGGATGTGTAGGTTAGGGGGGATGTCTGGAGCATGGGGATGTGTGGGGCAGGGGAGGGGTTGTGTGGGTTATGGGGATGTGTGGGGCTGGGGGGATGTGTGGGGCGGGGGGGGGGTATGTGGGGCAGAGGGGATGTGTGGGTTGGGGGGATGTGTGGGGCATGGGGATGTGTGGGGCAGGGGAGGGGTTGTGTGGGTTCTGGGGATGTGTGGGGCGGGGGGGGTATGTGGGGCAGAGGGGATGTGTGGGTTAGGGGGGGTGTCTGGGGCATGGGGATGTGTGGGGCAGGGGAGGGGTTGTGTGGGTTATGGGGATGTGTGGGGCAGGGGGGGGTATGTGGGGCAGAAGGGATGTGTGGGTTAGGGGGGGTGTCTGGGGCATGGAGATGTGTGGGGTATGGGGATGTGTGGGGCTGAGGGGCGTTGTGTGGAGCAGGGATATGTGGGGCTAAGGGGGATTATGTGGGGCTGAGGGGAGTTGTGTGGGGTATGGGGATGTGTGGGGCAGGGATATGTGGGGCTAAGGGGGGTTATGTGAGGCTGAGGGGGGTTGTGTGGGGTATGGGGATGTGTGGGGCAGGGATATGTGGGGCTAAGGGGGGTTTATGTGAGGCTGAGGGGGGGGATGTGGGGCTGAGGGGGGTTATGTGGGGCAGGGGTATGTGTGGGGCTGGGGGGGGTTGTGTGTGGCAGGAGGGATTTGTGGGGCATGGGGGATGTGTGGGGCAGGAGGGATGTGTGGGGCTGAGTGGGGTTATGTGGAGCAGGAGATGTGTGGGGCTGAGGGGGGTTATGTGGAGCAGCGATGTCTGGAGCAGGGAGGGTGTGTGGGGCTGAGGGGGGTTGTGTGGGGCTGGGGGGGATGTGGGGGATGTGTAGGGCAGGAGAGATGTGTGGGACTGAGGGGATGTGGGGCAGGAAGGGCCTGGGGCAGGGGGAAGTTATATGGGAATGGAGGGAGACGTGTGGGGCTGGGAGGGGATGTGGGGTTGAGTGGGAATGTGTGGGGTTGTATGGGGCAGGAGGACGTGTGGGGCGGAGGGGAGATGTGCGGGGTTGGGGCATATGGAGTTATATGGGGTGGAGAGTTTATATGGGGCAGGAAGGATGTGTGCGGCTGGGGGCGGTGTATGGGCAGGAGGGATGTGGGGCTGAGTGGGGTTATGTGGGGCAGGGGGATGTGTGGGGTGGGGGGGGTTCTATGGGGCTGAGGAGGGGATGTGGGACTGGGGGGATGTATGAGGTTGGGGGGTATGTGGGGCAGAGGGCTCTATGGGGCTGAGGTGATACGAGGTGGGGGGGTTCTGTGGGGCAGAGTAGGATGTGGGGCTGGAGGTCATGTGGGGGGGGGGCTTACGGATGTGTGGGGCAGGGGGTGATATTGGGTGGGGGGAGGGGTCCCATATACTTGACCCCTCCCCCCCCCCCCAGCAGCTGGTGTCGGGGCCTCCCCCTCCCCCCGCCCCCCGCCCTGCCCCCGCCTCCCTCCCGCCGCCCCCTCCCCCCTCGTCGCGCCCCCCCCCCCGCCCCCCCCGCGCCGCCAGCGAGGAGATGACGAGCGACGAGGAGCGAATGGTGATCTGCGAGGAGGAGGGCGACGATGACGTCATCGGTGAGGTCACACCCACCTCGGGAGGGGGGGGGGAGGGGATGGGGGTGCCCCCATTGACACCCCCACCCCAAAACCCCCCTTCCCCTCTCTGCCCCATAGCGGATGATGGGTTCCCCCCCCCCCCCCACCGACATCGATCTCAAGTGCAAGGAGCGCGTCAGCGACAGCGACAGCGACTCCTCGGGGGATGAGGGCAAGGTGGGAGCTGTGGGGCGGGGAGGTGTGGGGCAGGGAGTTATGGGAGCTATGGGGCAGGGAGCTATGGGGCAGGGAGTTATGGGGCAGGGAGTGATGGGAGCTATGGGGCAGGGAGTTATGGGGCCCGGAGTTGTGGGAGCTATGGGGCAGGGAGTTGTGGGAGCTATGGGGCAGGGAGCTATGGGGCAGGGAGTTGTGGGGCAGGGAGTTGTGGGAGCATGGAGTAATGGGAGCTGTGGGGCAGGGAGTTACGGGAGCTATGGGGCAGTGAGTTATGGGAGCTATGGGACAGGGAGTTATGGGGCAGGGAGTTATGGGAGCTGTGGGGCAGGGAGTAATGGGAGCTATGGGTCAGGGAGTTGTGGGAGCTATGGGGCAGGGAGCTATGGGGCAGGGAGTTATGGGAGCTATGGGGCAGGGAGTTATGGGACCTATGGGGCAGGGAGTTATGGGACCTATGGGGCAGGGAGCTATGGGGCAGGGAGTTGTGGGGCAGGGAGTTATGGGGCAGGGAGTTATGGGAGCTATGGGTCAGGGAGTTACAGGAGCTATGGGTCAGGGAGTTACGGGAGCTATGGGGCAGTGAGTTATGGGAGCTATGGGACAGGGAGTTATAGGAGCTATGGGGCAGGGAGTTACGGGGCAGGGAATTATGGGAGCTATGGGGCAGGGAGTAATGGGAGCTATGGGGCAGTGAGTTATGGGAGCTATGGGACAGGGAGTTATGGGAGCTATGGGGCAGGGAGTTACGGGGCAGGGAATTATGGGAGCTATGGGGCAGGGAGTAATGGGAGCTATGGGACAGGGAGTTATGGGAGCTATGGGGCAGGGAGTTACGGGGCAGGGAATTATGGGAGCTATGGGGCAGGGAGTAATGGGAGCTATGGGACAGGGAGTTGTGGGGCAGGGAGTAATGGGAGCTATGGGACAGGGAGTTGTGGGGCAGGGAGTAATGGGAGCTATGGGACAGGGAGTAATGGAAGCTATGGGGCAGGGAGTTACGGGGCAGGGAATTATGGGAGCTATGGGGCAGGGAGTAATGGGAGCTATGGGACAGGGAGTTGTGGGGCAGGGAGTAATGGGAGCTATGGGACAGGGAGTTGTGGGGCAGGGAGTAATGGGAGCTATGGGACAGGGAGTAATGGAAGCTATGGGGCAGGGAGTTAAGGGGCAGGGAGTAATGGGAGCTATGGGACAGGGAGTAATGGAAGCTATGGGGCAGGGACTTAAGGGGCAGGGAGTAATGGGAGCTATGGGGCAGGGAGTTATGGGGCACGGAGTTGTGGGGCAGGGAGTGATGAGAGCTATGGGGCAGGGAGTTATGGGGCATGGAGTTGTGGGGCAGGGAGTTATGGGAGCTATGGGGCAGAGAGTTATGGGGCAGGGTGTAGTGGGAGCTATGGGGCTGAGAGTTATGGGGCAGGGAGTAATGGGAGCTATGGGGCAGAGAGTTACGGGGCAGGGAGTAATGGGAGCTATGGGGTAGAGAGTTATGGGGCAGGAAGTAATGGGAGCTATGGGGCAGAGAGTTATGGGGCAGGGAGCTGTGGGAACTAAGGGGCAGGGATCTATGGGGCTGGGAGATACGGGGGCTATTGGGTAGGAAGCTGTGGGGCAGGGAGCTATGGGA